CTCTCCTGCATTGCATGGGTAGAAAACCGTTTTACATGTCTACAAGGAAAACATCTAGGGAGTCAAATGAGGGTGTCGGGAACGTGGTTGATGGGGTTTGGACCACTCTTCTGAGCAAATATAAATGAACATCTGAAATATTAAAGCTTCAACAGAATCATATCCTAAAATTTTACTTTTTCTATTTCAAGTAATCAGAAATATGTGTTGATCGGGGCACCAGCAGGTGGCGTGGCGGTTAAGGTGCTGAACACTCCCACATGGCCGACCATGGTTTGAGTCCCAGACATGGTGGCTTGCTTTCTCGCATCATATCTCTCTCTCTCTCTCTCTCTCTCTCTCTCTCTCTCTGTATGTGTCTCTCTCTGGTCAAATTAAAATAAAATGAATGAATAAATAAAATTAAGTAAATAATTATTTTAGAAAAATGTGTAGATGGCTTTTCTAAAAATTTTAATAGCATTCTTTATGTTTAAGTTGTTGACTTATTTTTAGCCACTTTTACTCAGCTTAAACAAAATCTAAACATGGCTTTACAGGAACTGTCTCCATCAATCACACACTCAACAGCCTCTAACAGCCTAACCACCCGCTATCGCTAGATTTCCAGCACAGCTCTCCTCTTAGAATCAACTCAAAATTGATTAAAGTTTTAACTGTAAAACCTGAATTTGTAAAACTACTGTAAAGAAAAATAAGGATAAAGCTTCATGTTATCAGTAATGCAACAACTTTTTGGATATGACCCCAAAAGCACAGGCAGCAAGAGCAAAAAAATAGGTAATAAAATTGCATTAAGCTAAAAAGTTTCTGCACAGCCAAAGAAGCAATTAATAGAGTTAAGAGACAACCCACAGAATGAGAGAAAATATTTTTAGCTCATATCAGACAAAAGGTTAATATGCAAAGCAAATAAAGAACACTAACTACTCAATAACAAGAAAATACCTCTATTTTAAAAATGGGCAAAGAACTTGAACAGACATTTCTCAAAAGAAAACATATAAGTAGCCAAAAGATACATGAAAAAGTGACCTATCTGTATTTATTCACGCAGCACAAGACAACCCTGCTGATGTCGCATGGTACAGGTGGGAGCTCACACACAAAAGTGCAAGGGTTGCCAATCTACACAGCTCTCAGCATCCCACAGCCTCACAGAGGTTGTACTTCAAAAACAGATTTCTTTTTTTTTCTTTTTTTGGAGAGGTTTTTGCTATAGGGCGCATGCACTTGCCAGACAGAGCGAGAGAGACAGAAAGCGAGAAATCACCCCCCAGGGGAGATGGCCACGCCACAATCCCTTCTCCTCCATTCTCCTATTGGGATCTTGGGCACGCACACACAAGCACCCGGCGTGAGTGTAAGCGACCAGGTCCGGGACTCGAACTGTGGTCGACTACGTGGAAGTCCAGCAACATAGCCATTACGCTAACTGCTGGCCCCAAAAAACAGATTTCTTCTTTTGATTCCCACATGGCTAACAAGAGCAGCCCATGCTGTTTCCATAATGACTGCACCATCTCACATTCCCACAATAGTGGGCAAGCTCCAATGTGTTCATATTCTGGACAACACTTATTTTCTATCTTCTTTTCACTTTTTTTTTTTAAATTCGCCAGAGGGTAATTAGGCAATTAGGGTTCCCTTTTTTCTACATCCTCACCAACACTTGTTATCTTTCATCTTTTTGATAAGAGGCATTTTAATATGTGTAGGGTGATATCTCATTCACTGGAGAGACAGAGAGAGAAGATAGAGCACCCATTGTGTGGAATGGTCATGTTTCAGTCCCTTCTCCTCCATTCCTTCCTCCTTTTGGGATTTTAGGCACACACATACACATGTACACACGTACACACGTACACGGTGTTTCTCAAGCCACCAGGACCACGTGGAATCCAGCTACTTTAGCCACCAGACCGTACGCACGCATTCTTTTCCCAGAGGTTGTGTGGTGAAATCTCAGTGTAGTAATAATTTGTACTTCCTTGAGCATTGCTCATGTAGTATCATTTCACATGCTTGTTGCCCATTTATGTATCTTTTTTGAATAAATATCTATTCAACCTTTTTGCCTATTTTCCAACTGGGTTAGACTGTGTTGTTAAGCTTTAAGAGTTCTTTACTCGCTGACTATGCTGGGTGGATGGGAGGGATTCACGATGGCACCGGTCAGCATCGACCTAGTGGGGGAGCGCACAGCCAAGGTTGGGCTGCTTCTCCAGGGCTTTGCAGCAACTCCAAGCCTCTCCTCAAGCTGGCCCAGGACCTAGGAAGGCTGGAGGATCTTCCTACGCCAAAGGCTCAGGTGTCCTGAGCTCTTCTTTGTTGGGAGGTTTTGATTATTGACTCAGTATCTTGTCCTAGCCATGGTGACACGGGCAGTAGGGGGATGAAGGATTGTGGCACGACCAGGCCCTATAGGCCCTGTTGGGGTGCTTCCTCTCTCTCTCACTCTCTCACTCTCTCTCTCTCTCTCACACACACACATGCATGCACATGTTCTCTGACATTAAAAGAAAAGAGCAAGATTACATTTTAGAAACAAAAGGAAGAAAACCAGCAGTGAAGAATGAAGCCACACTGTTGTCACGGGCGAGGCTCTCTGCTCTTGACTTCATGGTAGAGAGAGTTGAGCCCAGGGGCAGGGATGCCAAGGGAGTTCACTGGGCATATGTGTGATAAAGAATAGTGATGGTGATGGTGGTGATGGTGGTGATGGTGGTGGTGGTGGTGGTGATGGTGGTGATGATGGTGATGGTGGTGATGGTGGTGGTGGTGATGGTGGTGATGGTGGTGGTGATGGTGGTGGTGGTGGTGATGATGGTGGTGATGGTGGTGGTGGTGATGGTGGTGATGGTGGTGGTGATGGTGGTGGTGGTGGTGATGATGGTGGTGATGGTGGTGGTGGTGATGGTGGTGATGGTGGTGGTGATGGTGGTGGTGGTGGTGATGATGGTGGTGATGGTGGTGGTGGTGATGGTGGTGATGGTGGTGGTGATGGTGGTGGTGGTGGTGATGATGGTGGTGATGGTGGTGGTGGTGATGGTGGTGATGGTGGTGGTGATGGTGGTGGTGGTGGTGATGATGGTGGTGATGGTGGTGGTGGTGATGGTGGTGATGGTGGTGGTGATGGTGGTGGTGGTGGTGATGATGGTGGTGATGGTGGTGGTGGTGATGGTGGTGATGGTGGTGGTGATGGTGGTGGTGGTGGTGATGATGGTGGTGATGGTGGTGGTGGTGATGGTGGTGATGGTGGTGGTGATGGTGGTGGTGGTGGTGATGATGGTGGTGATGGTGGTGGTGGTGATGGTGGTGATGGTGGTGGTGCAAACACACTCCCTGGCAGAGCAGCTACTCAGGAGGCAGCCCTGCAGCCTTCGGGGAGCCCCCTTCATGGAGATCTACAAGCCCCTCACCAAGGGGTGGGTTCTAAGGGTGAGAGTGGCCTGGAGGACCCGTCAGGACGCTTATCTGCGCTTGAGCACGGCTGGCTGGATGGGTCAAGAGCCTCCAGGAGCCCCAGGGCCGTGTCTTCCGCGTGCTGACGAGGCAGTGTCTACTGCAGGTCATCCGGTACTCACGGGCACGCGTGACTGTGAAGCTTCCACACGCCGTGGGGGACAGGACCTTGGATTCCCTGCCCCTGTTGTTGGGCTAGGCCTGGTTCCCTAGCTCCCGACTCCCCTGGTCTCCTACCTCAGTCTTCTCTGGGAAGCCTCATTCTCTGGGTTGGCCTAGTGTCCATGCCCCTGTTTTTACCCTGTCCCACTCTGATGGAAATGACGTTTGTCAGATGACAGCACATTCCCCTCCTGCCAGTGGGCACACCCAAATCTCGCTCAGAAGTAGAACAGAAGCTTCTGTAGACGGAGGATCGTGTTATAACGAAGGCGAGTAACTGCTTCAAAATGCTGCCATAGCAGGAGTCCGGAGCCTGCTCTCTGGGCCTTCAGAGCTGTGGTCGCGAGGCTGTTGTGAGAAATCGCAGTACATGCAGCAGTGCAGTGCAGTCCACCCACGTCACTCAGGGGGCAACTGCACACTCACAGTCAGTCTCGCTTCATTCGTAGCAAGCCCCGTCACAATGTTTTAAATGAAATTGCCATGCATTATTTCAGCACAAACAGTTAAGCATGCATGAAAGGTCAGGACCCGTTTTGTATACGAGAATATTTCTATATCATGCACAAAGTAATCACTTCCTAACATCAATGAGTGTCCAGTCAGGGTCCAAATCTCCTGCGTTTTCTCATCTGCAGTTTTACTGTCGGTTTGAATCAAGCTCTGTTTTTTCCCTTTTGAAATTGAGATTTATTAGTGTGTCGAGGATCAGTACGGACATTTCAATTTGGTTTGAATCGAGTTCTATATAAAGTCCACATATTACAATTACTTGCTAATTCTCGAGGTTCTCTTTAAACTTGGGTTCCCTATCACCTCCGTTTTTCTTTCCCTTTCAAACCGTTGGTTAGAGGACTCTGGAGAACTTGTGGTCCTCGGCTTTGATGACTGGCTTCACGGCGGCATTTGACGAGCTCCTCTCTGCCCTGCACTCTCTGTGGACGGGTTGGCAGGTGCCTAGAGGCTGGATCGGGTTCATCTGGATGGACAAGGACTCGCATCGTGCGTGTGCGTCGGTCACAGCTGCTGGCCTCTAGCGTGTCGGCCGTCCCTGAGGACCACTGCGGAGACTCATTCTTTTCCCCAACTTCCTTGAGCTGTAATCGGTCACTTAAAAGCTTTATTAAGTAACACACGGGAGTTAGAGTTGGGACCAGGGTCCGATATCTCTTCAAGCTTTGCTCACGTTCTAGGCCCACATTCCCTCGGCCTTCATTGGTGAGCAGTTGAGAGGAACTTCGTTTTATCAGCCACCCAGGTACGGTACGACTTGTACAGGAAAGACGAGCTCAGAACCGTTCCACACAGACCCACCCCACACTCGATTCCCGGGTCACCGTTTCCACAGGGATGAGCTGACTCACCAGCACATGTCGAAGCTGAACAATGAGTTTATTCTAATGTCATCATGACCCTGCGTTTAGACAGTCTCCCATGCTTCATCCATTGTCGACACACCATGGTCATGCATAAGGATTCTGAAATGTCCCAGCTTTGTCGGGTGGGAACTTTGTCAAGCCCCTCCCTGCAGCCTATTGGCATAAGAACAGCATTCTTTCATTGTAGTGCTTGCCTGAGACAGAGAAAGGGAAAGGGGAAGTGAGAAATCATCCCCCGGGGGGATGGCCACACTGCAGTCCCGTCTCCTCCATTCTCCTCTCCAGATCTTGGCATGCGCATGCACACACACACACACACACACACGTGAGCGCGCACCACCGGGTGTGATTTCCAGGCCCCCGATTTTAGGACTTGAAACCTGCACTGGGCAAACCAACCTTGATACAACAGTGCCTATTTTTCTACAATTCTACCTGCAGAGCACTGAACTTCCCGATTTCTCCAAATACAGCAGGCGACAAGCTGCATCGTGGCATAGATGCTCCTACAATTCTCTTACTAGATGAGGGATTGACTGCCCTTTCCCTTTGTAAGTTTACAGTTATCTTCACTACCATCCTCTGTCCTCTTATTCTCTAACCTCTTATGCTCAGACACAACATGTCACGTAGTAACGATGACATCTGTCACCTCACTCACCCATCTCGGGCCGCATCCCTGCCTGTGCTCAGGCTCCTCTCACAAACACCCTCACGTTTCTCTTGTGCTTCTGTCACACCGCATCCAGTTCACCACCTTTCATGTTTATCAAATACAATGATAGCCCTGAAGGAACTTGGGTGTCAGTCAGCATCACCTGGTCTACTCGTGCTAAAAAGTATACATTCGTAGGAGCATACCAAGAACACGAGAAGCAGATGAGGTCCACATTCATTCAAAAAATTAGTTTTTCAAAACCTAGTGTGGGCTATTCTCTCTCCTAACATAAAATTCCAGATTCCTATACCTCATTTTCCCAAGAAGGACCCTGTCTAGAGTTGCCAGTCTGGCCAGGCTGCATGCAGGAAGCCCTAAGCTATGGTCACTACGATAAGACTGCTGTCCTCACTACCACGGGGACTCCGGGATGGAGCCAGAGCCCACTGCCCTCCTCCCCCTACTCCCTCAGGCCTTCCCAGACCCCATGGTGCCCTTTAAAACCTCCTTTTTCCTAAGGAGAAATTTAGCATCACTCACTACAGTGTCAAGAAAATAACTTTGCAGATAGAAAATCTTTCTAAAGTAAAGACCAGTGGCAAGGAGGCCCCCATTGACAGAGCAGAATATCTCCACATATCTCAACAGCTTTTCCCCTAAGGACTCATCCTTCTCAACTAACAGCAAACGGGGAGACTTCAGGTTTTCTTTGAGTTGTGCAACCGACACGTGCAAGTCTTTGGCCATCTTTTCCAGGGACGAGTCGTCCAGCCCAAAGTAAGACCGGTAGAGGGTTAGGGTCTCCTGCAGCTTCTCCACGTCGCTGTCACACACGACGCCCACAAAGGGGATGGTGGCCAAGACTCCACCCTTCAGGGCTTCCAGCCAGACCTTCTGCTTCAGGGAATCCCTCTTCCGGTCGATGGCGGCCTCGGTGATGTTCGGCAAGCACTGTATGAAGACATGGCGTTTGTGAGCAGGGAGCTCCCTCAGAAGGGTGGTCTCCAGCGCTGGGAAGTCGTAGTCAGACGCATCAAGGTTAGACACTAGGAAGACCTGAGCGTCGACCACGCCAGCATGCCGCAGCTGTGTCAGACAGTCCTTTTGGATGTCCCCCAGGACTCGGCCCCTGTTGAAGGTACTAGGTGTACCTCGTCGTAAACTGTCTACGTCACTATCTACCCTGGTTCGGACAAAGTAGAAATTCTTGTTCATTTTTCTGATCACTTTGGCCAGATGTGCGTCCGTTTCTTTGAAGCGTGTAGAGTTGATGATAATGAAGAAGTCATATTCACCGAACTTCATCGCCTCCAGATACTTCTGTGGAGGGAAGTTGGTGCTCCCCAAGCCAGGCAGGTCCCAGATTGTCACCGCAGGCAACTTTGGGTGCGTGTATGGAGTTCTCCTCATGGTCGTCTCTGTCACCCCAATGCGGGCTGCACCTTCTTCTTCATGCCCGATACCCCGCAGGGCATTGATGAAGCTAGACTTTCCCGACCCGGTCTCGCCCGTCACTGCGATGTTCAGTGGCGCACTCTCGATGTCCCTCAATGCTTCATTGATTATAGACACTGTCCTCTGAACATCCCCCTTCTCCAGGTAGGATTGAATCAAAATGATGGTGTCCTCAGGAATGATTTTACTTTCCATCTTGAAAGTCTTAAAAAACTTGTCAACGCTGTAGGCCATGTCATTGTCCTCCTTAGGTGTCGAGGAAATGAACTGACCCATGTCTGTGAGCCGCAGAGGGCGCTGGAGGGAGGCAGAGAGAGGGTCAAAGAGTTAGTACGTCATGGGGAGGCCGAGGGGCCCCTGTGCACGTGATAATTGGGAGCATCTTCCCTTTCTACCCGTAGATATTGCCTAGACCTCTGACTTGGGTGTAGTTTGCCCTGACTCAAGCTCCTCTCATATCCTGTGGTGCCCTCCTCCTTTAAGAGACTCCTCATGGGGCCAGCAGATGGCATAGTGGTTACATTTCTGGACTCCCACATGATCAAACACAGTTCTAGTCCCAGATCCAGTGACTTGAAATATACCAGGCATGTGTGCATGCCCAAGATTGTGGGGAAGAGAACAGAAGAGAAGGTATTGTCGCGTGGCCATCCACCGGGGGGTGATTTATTGCTTTCTGTCTCTCTGGTTAGTAGACGTGCCCTATAGCAAAAATCTCTCTCAAAAAAAAAAAGAAAGAAAGAAAGAAAAGAAAAGAAAAGAAAAAAGAAAGCCAACTTTTGATACGTGAAGAAAAAGTTCAAGAAAATCAAACAATAAACCACAGCCTGGGAGGAAATTCTCATAAAGTACTACCTGATAAAGAGCTATTATGAAGACAGGCAAGACACCCTTCTAAAATAAATCCAGCAATGAAAACCAACAACCTAATTACAAAATGGGGCGAAGACTGGGGCCAGTAGGTGGCATAGTGGTTAAGGCACTGGATTTCCATGTGGCCAGCTGTAGTTCAAGTCCCAGACCAGGTGGCTTGGAACTCACACTAGGCATGTGTGGGTGCATCCCAAAATCCCAGGAGGAGAAGGGAGGAGAAGGGGCTGTGGCGTGGCCATCCCCCCTGGGGGGTGATTTCTCACTTTCTGTCTCTTTTTCTCTCAGGTGAGCGTACATGGTCAATAGCAAAAATCTCTAAAAATAGGAACTAAAAGGCGACAAAACAGGACAAAGACCTTGATGCTTCGCCAGGGAAGACACACCGAGGGCAGACAAGCATACGGTCCAATGCCCCCTCGCCGGCCCAGGGAAACGCGGTGGGAACCGCAGCGAGGCCCGCGTGCCACAGCATGGCAGGAAGCTGGAGACGGCAACACCGAACCTGGCTGGCTGAGGGGAAGTAAGACCCTCGGGCTTTGCTAGTGGGAGCGCAGAACAGGCAGCCCACTGCAGGAATCCAGTTGGCACTTTCTTGTGAAATTAAACCCACTCTTACCATACGTGCTCCGTGGTATTTACTCACAGGAGTTAAACACTTGTTCACACAAAAACCTACACACAGTCTTTCCAGAAGTTGTACCCACAATTGCCAAACCTTGGAACAAGCAAGAGGACTTCCAGTGGGAGCTGGGCTCGCACTCTGGTATACCCGGACAGCACGACTCCTCGCTCAAAAGAACTGAGCTAGACAGCCATGAAGAGCCAGGAGGGCCTCCAAGTCATGTTCGTACGTGGAGAGCCGATCTGAGAAACCTACGTGCTGTGTGATTCCAACCACGGAATGTTCTGGAAAGACTATTACAGAAGCGGAAAAGAGATCCCTGGCTGCCAGTGTGTGTGTGTGTGGGGGGTGGGTGCTGAGAGGGCAGAGCAGGGCTTTTCAGGACAGAGGACGTCTCAGCGGACAGTGTCACTCTACTGCTCATGCTCGGACTCACAGCGCCAGCTCTGAGGGAACTGTGGGCTCAGGGACCCACGGCGTGTCAGTGGGGACTCGTCCACTCTGTCGAGGGTGCTAATAACAAAGAGAGATATCTACACCTTTTTCTTTTTTCCTTTTTTTTTTTTTTTTTTTGGAGAGGTTTTCGCTATAGGGCACCTGTGCTCGCCAGACAGACAGAGAGAGACAGAGACAAAGA